ATTCCTTTAATTTTTATTTATTCAATTATTATATTTTTACTTGTAGGTTATTTTACTATCATTTCATTTCAGGTTTATTGTTGCTTAATATAATTGTTATTTTCAACTATTCTTTTTTTTTTAATTATTCTTTTTTACTTGTTTCAGGGATTTCAAATCATTTTATATAATAGACAATGGAAGTCCGAACTAGTGAAATTAAAGGAACGTGTTGGACATATCGTGGATGAATATTTGGTTATGCGAAAGCTCTGTTCAAAATGGGTACCGCGTGTGCTCACAATCGACCAAAAACAAATACGAATTGATGATTCTGAGTAGTGTTTTAAGCTGTTCCACTTTTATGCGAATTTTATGGGTCGATATGTGACAATGGATGAAACATGGCTACATAGCGTTATTGGAGCATATGAAGGACGAAATCGCGGAAAACCGGCCACATTTGAAGAACAAAAAAGTTCTGTTCCATAAGATAATGCACCGTGTCAGAAATCAATGGAAACGATGGTAAAACTGCATGAATTGGAATTGGAATTACTTCTGCATCCACCGTATTTTTCAAATCTGGCCCGAAGGAATTTTTCCTGTTCTCAAACCTGAAGAGAATGCTCACTGGAAAAAAATTAAGCTACGATGAGGAGGTCTCAGGTTTGAGGCCTTATCGAAAAATTCTATGACCGCTGTAATTATTGTATCACCTTCGAATTTCACAAAAAACATTTTTTCCTATGTTAGCCTAGGAATTTCTTAGACCGACTGTTCACTAAAATCTCACCTTGGGATTCATTCTCAGTTCTTTGTGGGGTAAACCAGTTTCTGTCATCGACCTCATCAAGCAGCTCATACACTTCGTTTTCCCGGCTCCAGTAGGTCCTGACACAAAAAAAAATTATTTATAAGTAATAAATTGCACTTAGAGTAAGAGACTGTACCTAGCACCATTAGACCATGGCGCACCAAGGAAGTTTCATACAATTGGATGACTTTCAAATTCCAAGAGGGGTAATTCACCAGACCCATTTCCGCACATTGATTAATTATAGCTTTCTGCAAATCTTTCCAGGTTTTCGTCGTTAATTTTATGCCAGGAAACATGTCTTCGATGAGAGAGAGAAAGAGGGGTTCATCTTCGTCGATTAGTTTGCTCAAATTCATGTCTCTCAGCACTCTCATGACCACGACGTCTTCAGTTTCATTTGGGTTTGCCCTCTTCTGAGCTCCCAGAGTTCGCAAAACTGACAGAATGTTCCGTAGACCAAAATCATAGTGGACCTAATATAACAAGTAACCCCATTTACTCAATCTAAATGAAATAGTATTATAATAATAATAATAATAATGAGCTGTTTTTCGATTTGTCGAAATCATCCAGTTCCGAAGTTGTAGAGCGGTTTCCGGTTGAAGATCACAAGTTTCTCCAACACCAGGACATCATCGTATTGGTTGATTATCTTGAACCTGACAGTATATCATTGGATGAGTCTTCCGAACCTCACATCGTCATCAATGATGATTATTAGGTTAGTTATCTAGAAGTATACATAATTCATAATTGAGGCAGTTTTCAAACCAACCTCTCTCTTCACTCGATGGAAATTAGTATATAATGGAAATGAACTGATGAATAGTCATATAGTACGCTAGTACCTACTTTGTCCAATGTGGGTCAGTTCAATGCCTGCTATGAAGGAGTTCCATTAGATGTTAATTTTAATTGAGCATTCGAGTTGACAATGAAATATCTACAAGTCATTAGGGATAGACTTCAGTGTAAAGTAATCATTTCGAGCAAAATCTTGATTACAAAGAAACAAAAAAGTTGACTTTGGCAGTCGCAATGAGACCAAAATAGCGAAGGCAGCAGTATAGTGGCTTAGCCACTGCACGGTTGCATGAATAACTGGCCGATTTCCGGTCAGAGCCGCGGATATGCATGCGCCAAGCGCACATCCTCATCCTGGCAGCAAATTTCTGGGCGAGAGTCACCCATCACCCAGCACTGCAGGTGCAACCCTCGTTGAGTGGACTGTTTCTGCTGTCAGATTCCTTTGAATCATGTGAGATATTTGCGTCTCTGCTTCACTAACATCCAAGTTACGCAGTCTGCCACTCTCCTATATTTTCACTGAATAGAGCGATTCTTAATTTTTACCTTTTCTTGATTGTGAACTGAATTTTTCGGTTCCAAGAATTCAAAAATCTTATGAATTTTGAGAATTTCTATTCTCCGTAACCCCAAACCATGAAGGTTTCATCAACATTTCATAGCTAGCATAAAGTATACAAAAAACTAACCCATACGGTCCGATATATGAGTAAGTACTCCAATAATCCGCGACAGAAAAAATGAATTATTATGAATATTAACTTCAAAACTATATTCTACAATGAAATACAATGTACAAGTATTGTACCATTCACTGATTGAGAACATGAAATATTTTTCAAAGTTTTGATGACGTCTGATGATTCATGTGAATAGGAAATCTATTGAATAATATGAAACCTGGTGAATTAGAACAGTTTCCAATATGTAATTATTATAAAATGGCACATTCAGCTGATATTTCATTCCGGTGTTATTTGTTTAAAAAAATTGTTTGAAATATGTTTTTCCGTTAACCAGATGTCGCATCCCCACGAACGACAATCCTCAGAAGTCTGAACTTGTGCAAGCTAAAGACTAACGGGGTATTACCTTTTGAAGTGTTGGACGATAGCAAGAGAAAATCGATTGTACAGCCTGGGCTTCAACCAGCGACCAACACGGCGTTCGATTTGAGAGAGTGAACGAAACACCCACGTCGAACCGACCGGCTACCGTCTGCATATGAATATCAGATTTTGTTGTGAAATTTTTAGAATTATTTCAAACATATGAACACATACGAGCGATAGCATCGTCGCAATTCTATACGTTTTAAACATATTAGTGCAAAACTATTCAGGCTAAAAACCAAACATTACGTGAAGTATTCTCTCTTGTGCAATTGAAACTCAACAATTAAAGTTCTGCTAGAGAGGGCGAGCGGTATTTGCGAACCACAGCAGTCGGCCGTTATACACTCAGTTCCGTCATTAGTACAAACACAACAGGATTATTTTCAGTTCGCGTATAATAGCGAGATAGATTACTTCAAATATTGCACATCGTCTTTGATAATGTCTGCCGTAGTAGTAGACACAACGACAGATATTAAAACCAACAGATCACGACCAATGAACCTGAAAATGTCGAACAATCTTTTAGACACCGGCCGTGAAAGCCGTGAACGGAATGTATATTCAATTGTGTGAAATTGTTGATCATTGTCACCCGAACAGGATTTCGGAATTACGGGATTGAATTACGGGATCCATGAAGAACAGTTATCGAGACAGAAAAACGATGTAATATATTTTACAACTTTCCTATACCTATCAAATATATACAAAAGATTTTTTTTAAATCGGTTCAGGCGTTTCAGAGAACTGCGACCATAAAAACCGTGACACTAGATATATTAGATTGAATATTGGATATATTAGATTATTACATACATTACATTCTCATGCCGATCAATCCTAGCCGTCATCAATAATACCCGACAACTTCACTTTGATTATAATGCTCATCTGATGTTTGTCAAGCGTTAAAGAATATTCATCAAATTAAACTCACTCAAACTAAAACTCAACAAAAATGTTTCTGGACCTTATAATCACAGAAACATAGAGTTCTGCTCCAAATGACAAAAGTTACGGCAGCGGCAGTAGTTGAAGAATATAATATATTGATTTGAATATCTACTACCACTAGTATGTCATTGAAATAAGTGAGGGAAAGATCGACAAGTTTGGCCACAAATGTAAGGCAGCCTCCACCAGGCGTCAACTGATAAAACGCAAAGTTTCAAATCAATTTTCGATAAAATTTCCATTCTGGTAAATGACTGAAAAATTTATGGATTGTGCTTTTCGTGACTATGTTGAATTTAACTTATAATGATGGTGATGATGTGTTGGTGATGAAATGAGTTGAATTGGAAATAAACATCAAATCGAGTCAATCAGAAGCCAAATGAACATCGTGTCGATGAGCATTCGAACAGTCAAGCAAGAACAATGATGACTAGAAAATTCTGTGCGATTGATCAAACCTAACGACATGTATACGTATACTTATATACGAAACATCAATAATGTAGTTTGAAAGTGGAAAATTATTATCATAAAAAGAAATCGTCTATGGAATAACAACACTTACGAAGTAGGAACTTTTTCAGCCTTTATTTAAACATATGAACATTAGGTGATCTTATATGATCATCAAGAATCATATAAAGCTCACAACCAATACAATACACCATATCAATATTTCCCATAATTCGAATTGCGTATTTTTGAAGAATGAAAATCCGATTCATACCAGCACTGTTTCCCCAATTCAGTATATCATACTTCATGTGGGAGTGGAAATGTGCGAAGTACAGCGTAAGCAAGACATTTTTGCTGCAGTGGTCTTCCATATACTTTATGCTGTAGCAACTACTTCTCAGCTTACTCAGACAATAGTTCTATAGGACTTGCCCATTGCAGATGTTTGTCGAAAATTACTCCCAAAATTCACTCCCGAATATTGACAATAAACTGATAGCTCTATAATTGGAAAAGTCAACAGAATAATCTTTTTTGGCAGAACTACAGCCAACTTGAAAGATTCTGGGAAAATTCCTCCAGAATAACAAAGATTGATGAGAATAGCCAATGGTTCACTTAAACCTGCATACGAATTTTTAGTAGGTTATTCGATATTTTATCAAATCCACTTGAGTTGGGAGATTTTAAATCACCAATCAATATTTCAACATCTACAGGTGTAACTGGCTTTAAGAAAAACGACTTTTTTTTTGACACTGGCATATTAACTTTAGATAATCCAGATCATGCTGTTTTACCGAAAATGATTCTCTAGTGAAATAAATATTAAATTGCTCAGACATTTCTGGGGCAGTCATCTGTTTACCATTTTCACGTGAATATTAATGGGTATATTGTTTTTACAACATCCATTCAAATTATTAATGATTTTCCATATAGTTTTTGATTTTTTATTTGATTTCATCATCAAATCATCATTATATCGTTTTTCAGCCTCTAACAATGCATTGCAGTAGCGTTTCTGTAGCTCTGCTCTTGGTTAATGATATATTGGGTAAGAAGTTGCTAAATCCGATATAAGACTTAATTGCTGCTTTAAATGCAGAAGTTCCTCGTTAAACCAAATTCTTTTTTCAGCTCTTTTATCAATGGGTATTTTATTGGTATTATTTTTAGTGAAAATATTTCCCCATTGTTCACCTTCCAATTGATTCAGAAACTTTAAGAGTATTCTGGTCTGAGAATTTTCGCGAATAGTTGTATTGTTGAGGAGCAGATTTGAGGTTTTATTCAATATTGAAGACCAAGTGTTGAGATAAATAGTCCGACAGATTCAGATTTTTTTTTACTACTGATTGCCAGCAATCATTTATATTGGAACTTATGAAAATATTTAAGAATATTTTCTGTTGTGTTTACACAACAGAGAATAAACTTCTTCCTTTATTTCCATATATGAACCTTGATTTCTAATATTTTTGTATTCTTTTGAATGTGAGGATAATAAAGATGATGATTATTATTATTGTCTACACAAGTACTGGAAATTGCAGTCACTTTAGTTGAAAACCTTATTGTACTGCTATATCATAACATCCCAGCAAATCCTTGAAGATGCCCCTGTCATTACTATATTCCAAGAAATTAATACTGAAATCACCTCCAATAACGATAGTTTTATAATGGAAAGCAACTCTTTCCATCATATTTGCAAAACATTCTGAAAATTTTAAATCAATTTATATTATAACTAACGAGGTCTCTTACCTTTTAGCATGTGATTTCCGACACGGTTAAGTTTGGCCACTATAGGGGAGCTGGTCTCCAAACCTGAATGAAATTAGGATGACTCGTCAGTCAGTGTTCATCAGCCAAAAGGGTAGGGGAGCTGGTCTCCAAACCTGGAAGAAGTGACGATGATGGCAGTCAGTGTTCGACACAGCGTTCGACAGAGTGTTTGCTGGCGATTATTGAAATTCCGAATTATCATCTCAGAGGAGATTTAATGAAATTCCGAATTATTATCTCAGAGGAAATTTGTTGGATAATATATGGTATCACGACAATATATTTGTTGCTGGAAAATTATAAGGACTGGACACTGGTTAAACTGGAGAATAAAAGTAGAGATA